TAGGAAGGGGAGAGGAGGGAGGTTGAAAAAGACCAAAAAAGTAAACACACAGACCTAAAGCAAGGTAGTTAAAGACACAGCTGCTCTGAAAAACAAGCACTGAGTTTACATCAGGGAGAAGGAAGAGGAAAAGAATCCTTGGTTGTGACAGTACTTTTTCCTCAGAGGTAAGAGGGGTGATGTAATCTGCCTGTAACCATGCTGGACACCAGCACACCTACGATAAGTATTTACTTTCCTAGCGTGAAGGCATCTGATGTTTCATATGAACTTGAAAAGAAAAACAAAAACTTTTGCATCCCAACTCTACCACGTCTCATGCTCAGTTCCTACGAGGTCATGCAAACAGGAACACTCTTACAGTTTCATGTACCAGTTTCAACTGCTAGATCCAAACATAAAAACAGGAACAACAACAACAAAAATTAGCTTTTGATGTCCACGTTCCTACACAGTTTCAGAAATACTTGTGGAAACCAAAAATAAAATCTCTTTCTGCTAACTACAGTATCTGGCAATATTAAAATCACATTTCAAAGTTTGTTCTCTGACTTCTATACAAGCATAGTCTTCATGCCTGTATGTTTCTCTTTTGCAAAGCTTCACAGAGCACTCCTGTAAGAACTTTTCAATATAGATCACTGAGCAATTAGCCTTATTTTGGATGCGTCTATTCCATTTGGTATAGATTGACTGTATACTGCTGCATAAATGCCACATAAATATACTTTTATAGTAGTAAGCAAGCACAGCAATACAGTCTAATATGCAACACGAGCATTCTTGGAATGCTATTGCCCTTTGTATGGCATAAAAAAGTTTATTTGCCAGAACTGGTACAGTCAAGTGCTTTCACTCCCAGTCTCTAGTTTTCTGCAAAACAGAGGGAAATCAGATTTAGACATGGGTGACCAACACTACCAATTTAGAGGAGACAGCAGAAAGGGGCCACTGCCTCCCATAAAAAGGCAGATTTTCTCTCAAGTAACAAATCCTGAGTAAATGACTTGCCAGCTAAAGAAACAACAGCCTCATGTATTTATGCAATCTGCAAGAGTAGTCACTCAAACTTGTAATAGCTCATCTGTTCCCTTTCAAGTGAGATTACCTGGACATTAATTTCAATCTGCAAGACAGGACAAGTGGAAGAGATCTACTGAAGAGGTCCAGGGATTCGCAAAAGGCTTAGATCGTCTTATGCAAAAGAGCAGCCCCAAAGTTTGTTCCTGCTTTATGTCTGTTACAGCTGTAAGCACCAAGGGAGACACTTTTTTCACCTCTAATCAGAAAGTTCATGCCCACATGAGAACATGCTGTAGAGAAACAAGTTAGAGAAACTGCTGTAACACCTCAACAGGATTTTTTTTTTCCAAGTACCATCCATAGTCCAGTATTTAATTACACTTCTATTTCTATCAAAAACTATTGATTGAGTAAATTTTCCCATCTTTTCAGAGAAGCTGAAGGCCAAAGCTAGAAAATACAGTTTAAGTGAAAAAAAAAAAAAAAAAAAAAAGGCCTTTTGTGCCCAGGACAGTTGATCTTGGAGGTTTTTTCCAACCTAAAGAATTATAATTCTATTCTAGCATAAAATAACAGACATAAAATTTCTTACTAGCTTCCCGATCAACTTGTCAGAAAGAATTAAAACAGGCATTTACATTATTTATAACTATAAACAGCCCAGCAACACTACAAATATGATTTCACTCAGAAAATATTTGCTATTTGTCACAGTCATTTCAAGAGACTGGAAGCTGGCCTGTGGAATTCACATTACTGCAGTAACTGCAGTTAATCAGCTGAGGTGGTACTGTGCCCCAAGATAGCTTAAATGTGCTAAAAATGGGCTGCAGCCACACATGGCAAATGACTTATACTGAACAATATGGCTTAAGTATTACTTTTCTCCTGTACTAGACAGCAGTGTAGACTTCACGTAACAACCATTTAATCCAATGGGAACTATCTTTACTGAAACTAGAGATTCTTATTCCCAAGTTATTTTCCACCTAAGCCATGGCTAGCAACAACCTTTTCTTTAAAAGAACTACTTGCTGTTTTTCTCCACTTTGAAGACCTAAAAAGCAGGAGATCCCTAGCATCACTAGCCGAACAAATCTGTCACAAAACACCTACTGAACTTCCTCAGGAGGATACCTTCAGCTAAATGCAAACAATGTTTTCATTATACTGGAACTGGTTTGTCATTCATTGTATTCACATGAGTGTGTTCTTAACGTCCGGATCTGGAATGGAACCAGGATGTGAGAGAGTCCCCAGGGTGCATAGTGTAATTCTGATATCATTGTTTAGAAGTACAACTGAATCAGCATTTCAGCCTAGTAGTTATGCACAAGATGTCATAATTTCACTTCAATTAGAACAGGCACTGTCTTTTCTCAAAAGGTATACCGCTGAGATACTTCAGGGAAGGGATTAAACCTAAAGTTTGGAGGTTTTTTTCTTTTTTTTAATTGAAAGGCTGGGAAAACACATAACATGATTTTCTAGTGACTTACCCAACCAGAAATTAAGATACAATTTTAAAAAGTCACAAGTAAATCATTAATTATCATTGCTTGGTAAAAGCAGTTCAGATTTCCCACTTGGGGATCAAGAGTCTTATTAATAGACATATAGTTCAGTCTAAAATGACTATTTTAAGTGTAAACTAAAATTTATGGAGTGTGAACAAAGTATCATAAGTGAAACCGATTAAAAATCAGTCTAATAACAAACAGGCTTGACGTATGCTTTATCTGCACTGTTACTAAAACTGGGGCAAAAACAACGCCCACCACAAATTACCTCAAGCATACAGTTCCACAAATACAGATGAGTAATTTTAATGGGGCTCTAAGATACTTAGTGAAGAGCTAGGTTATAATCTAACACCTTTTAAGCTTGTATGATGTAAAACTCTGCCCTTATTACAGTAGAATCTCCAAAGCAAAGATCAACACATCCTAACAACATAACAATTTCACCTTCTGTTTGTTATTTCAGTAATAGAGATGTCAGTGCTGCTCTTCAAATGCAGTCCCTTATAAGATTACTAACAACAAAAAGAATATAGTATGAGAAATGTATATACCCTTCAGAACCGTACAGAATTTTGTTTTACTTTACATAAGTAGGAAAAAAAAATGAGTGGAAAAAAAAAAAACAAAACAAAACTGTAATGCATTAACTTTTACTATTGCTTTAAGACAAAGAAACAAAGGTAACTCAAGCGGCATCAACCACCCTTTATGAGACAGCATTTAAAAGAAAGAGATCATTTTATCAAATTTATCTAACTCTCTCATGAATAAAAAAGTAACATACAAAATGGCAAATTTAAAACTGCCTACAGGCAGTAGTTTTAATCCATTCTTCAGCAATTAACCTTATGATTAAGGCTGACAGCAGACGGGGGAAAATTCATCCAACGTGAAAGAACACCTCAAATACTTATATTTATATTGTGATTCCTAGGATAACACAGACATAGTTCTTTCCTATAAGCAATTATTCCTGTCCTCCTCCCTCTGCAAATCATAACAACAGAGTGACTTCTATTATTCACATCTCTAAGTACTTCACTACATATTAGTAGCTTAGCCTTGAAAGCCCAACCCTTGCAAACACTTATCTAGAAATCTTGTATTTACATTAAATATAAATTATTCCAATCATGTATTTAAATTAAATTACTTATTTCATAAGAACTATTCAAAAGAACAAAGTCAAACTCGTAAATACTGCTGCCAGTTTGTAAATCTTAGTGTTGTTCTAACTGTCTAACAGGCAAGATATTCATGTTGTGGGGTTTTGTTTTTATAAATAATAATTTTTCATTATACACCGCTGAAATAAGAAACTTTAATGTAGTTTCCCCTCGCATGTTCACTGAGCACAATGCAGCCAGATCCTGAGGTCAAACCGCTACTGAAACTCTAATATTTGTTTCAACATCTGCATTGTGTTGTCATGGTACAGAAGGGCAGGAATACTAGGTTATCTGCTGAAGAAACAAAGTATTTAGTGTAAAGTAAGTAAGTATCCGAGTAAGTACTAAGTAAAACGATTAAAGTCCTAGAATTATTAGGAGAGTAGGCGCGGTGGGTCCGGAAAAGAGCACAGGGGAAGTCTATCCAGTAATAGGAAGAAAGAAACACCACAAACACACGGAGGTAGCGCTTTAAGCTTCCAAATACACCTCGGAGCAAATTACAACCTGTACAAAATCGGGGCAGGCTGACAGCACCAAGGCTTGGCTCTGGAGCCGCCTGGCTTCGACGGCTGAAAGGACGAAGACCCAGCAGCTGCGGCGCTCCCGCAGGGGCGGCAGCCCAGACGCTGTCTGCCTCTCTCCCGCTGCGCACCTCAAGTGCCCGTGCTGGGGGCGAGCGGCGGGACCGGGGCGGGTTACATAACGCCGCGGCGCTGCCCTCACACCGCCGCCGAGCCGGTGCTGGGCGGGTTGGGGGTGGGCAGCACCGAGCCCCCCCCTCCACCCCCAGCCCCGCCGCGCCGCGCCTCAGCCCCGACCCCCCTCAGCCTACCTGCGGCGGGCCCTCAGCCCTCAGCCCCCGTCCGGCGGCCCCCAACCGCCGCCGGGAGGAGGAGGAGGAGGAGGAGGAGGAGGAGGAGGAGGAGGGGGGCGTCGGTTGGTGCCGGGTAACGGCTCGGCGGCTGGCTCAACCGTCACAACCGTCAGCGGCGCGGTGCCGGCGGAGGCCCCTGCCCCGGTGGCGGCGCGGCCTAAGGGAGCGGCGCCGCCGTCGCCCCGCCGAGCGCCTGCACCACGGAGGGGGCGGCGGGAGGGGGAGGGGGCGGGGCCGGCCGCGCCGACAGCCAATGGGAGCGCCGCCCGCCGCGCGGCCCCCCGCCGCCGCCGCCCCGCCCGCGCGGGGGTGGGCGGGGAGCGCGGGGCGGGCGGCGAATCACGGAGGGCGAGCGGGTGGAACAGACAGGAGGGATGGCCAATGGGAAGGGCCGCAGGGGGTGAGGGGGGGGGGGACGGGAGGAGGAGGAGGAGGAGGAGCGGTTCCGGGTCGGTTGCCGTGGGGATGAGCTCGCAGCGCGGCAACGCGGTGCGCAGGCGGCCGCAGCGCCACCAGAACACCTGGGCCTTCAGCAACCGCCGGCACGACGCCAGCAGCCGCCGCAAGGTCGGGCAGCGCGGGGGGGGCGGGCACACAACCGGGCCGGGCCCACAACCGGGCCGGGCCGGGCCGCGCCGCCGGGCTCCCTGAGGAGGCCCCGAGGGAGGCCCCGGGCCCTGAGGAGGCTCCCGGCAGCCCCGCGGCCTGGGCCCGCCCTCGGCTGAGGCGCTCCGAGAGGCGGCTCCGAGGCCTCGTTGCCTTCGCGTCGCTTTCGTTGCTTCCTGACGCCTCCCCTTACATCGCTTCGGTGGGTTTCGCACCGAGAGCATCGTTACGTTGTAATTTTGTTTTTTTAAGTAAGGACTGGGATGCGCTGCCCTCGGAGGCGATTCAAACCGCACGTGGGATGAGTGCTCTGCGGGAGCGCTGTCACTGCTGTGCCCGTGTCTCCTGAGGGAACCTGGCCAGGCGGTCAGGCAGGGGGAGAAGCCAGTAAGTCAGAGTAATGGCACCAGAGAGAGAGGTGTGTGTTGGTGGCTTTTTTTAGACCTTTTTTTTTTTTTTTTTTTTTTAGGTGATTGTAGAACTGGTTCTGCAAGTTGAACAGGCTGCTTTCCTGGTGCTCCAAGTGGCACCGGTATTATTCATTGTTTGAGTCACTGTACAATCCCTGATAGTATAGATAAGTGTATTTTGCTGTCTGCGACACCCCCCATCCCCAAATATCCTAGAGAGCTGTTCAGTCAGAAGTCTTTGAAGACAAACTGAGTTCTGACATCAGTTTTGTAACTCAATCATCTTAATACACAGATTAGTGTTTTTTATTTTATTTTAATTTTTCCCAATATTTGATATCACATAGAAGTCGCTATACAGTACCACGCACTTAAGCAGACACATTACAACACACACACATGCATCGTTTGAACATAGCTTTCCCTTCTGTACACGCCTCTTGGAGACTGCTAAATACAGGAAAGAAGATTCTTGAAGAAAGTGCTTCCTATTACAGTGTGCTGAATAATTTATTTTTCTTTTGGTGTATTTTAATATATAATTCAAAATTCTGACCTCTACTGGTGAGGGGTCAACAGATGCCATTGCAGTGATGACTAGGCCTGATTCTGCTGTTTAAGAACTTTGAAGAGTTGGACTAGCAAAGTTTAAGTGGTGATTGGTGTCATAGTATAGATACAGAATATGCTTAATGATGACACTGAGCGTTGTTTCTCTGTCTCATCACTTCTATGTATTTGTGTAGCCCGGAGTGATCAGGTGTACCACAGGTACACGAGCTGTGATGAGGCAAAGGAACAAATAGTGGAAGTTTGATCAGAAGGGCTGGTGTGGGACTGGGACATTCCTCCTTTCTAGCTCTTATTGGCTGAATAAATTTGAATACTTAGGGTTGCTGAAAGAGGGTGGATCACCTGCAAATCACTAATATTTTTGGGGGGCGAGGGAGTCTAGTGGTGGCCCATCCTTGACTATTGTTGTACACTGTCCAACTTAATAGCATCTAGAGAGGCTGGAGAGTGTTGTTTAGTTTAAAAATTTATATCCTTCTACATTTGTACAATGCTTTAGCAATGTTGAGTATCAAGTACAGTCACTTCAGGTTGTACTGTGGGTGGAGTTAAGGAAGTTATTTGCAGTGTTATTGCTGCTCCCCAGTGAAGGAGTTGCTGCAGAGGAAATTGATCTATTAATCTTTCGACTTTTCCTTGCTGGTAGTTATTATCCAGGTTATTTTTGGTTTTGGTTGTTTGGATGTGTTGTTTTTTTGTTTTTTTTTTAATGGTTTTGAGCTTTCTGTCTGACATTGACCTTGGCACCCATTTTCTAATCTTAAAGACTGTAGTTCAGATTATTTGCAGAACATACTGAAAGATCCATTTATGTTTCCTCTCATGATCAGGCTCTACAGCAGCATTACTCTGGGATAGCCCAGTTGAGATGAAGCAACACACACTGCCTCTCTACTACGTTTCGTTAGATGCCTACAGCAGCACTGGGAAAGCTTGCTAGGATGAACTGAAAGGAAGAGCCAGTCAGAGTAAGACACACAGTGTTGTTAATTATTGAAACAGGGAATTTGTTTATGGGTGATTGCTTCATGTAGTATATTCTGGTACAGCTGTTTCTGACACTGAGCTGAGGAATATACATTATGTTGTATGAATATACATTTTATATAAAGTATATTGCATAAGTCAATATGGAAACTGGAAATGAAGGTAGTTCTAGAGATGAAAGCAAATAGCATTCAACAGGAGCGTTTAGAAGTCCATTGTAATAAGAAGGTAAACCACAAAGTGATTCATATTTACACCCAAATGACTGATCTGTTTCTCCATTTCTTCCTCTCATTAAATTAACCCCAGATGATAATCCAGATTTTCCTAAATTTCAGACGTTATTAACTCTGAACCTCAGCTTTACCATAATGCTGATGTCAGCTACTTCTTCAGCTAGCTACACTGATAAATAATCTGTTTTAATGGAGACACTGGTCAAGACTGTGGGAAGGCACAGGGAAGAGAGCAGGCTTAAATGCTGAGTCAGTGAATGCGACTTAAAGCTCAGAAGGGAAGATATAGGTAAACTGGTAGCCAATTGGAATTGGCAGGTAACTGTACTGGAGTTTGGATAGTTTGAGTTCTTAACACAAGGGCATCTTGAAGTCTAAAGTCTGCTCTCTAGCCACCCCTCCTATACTGAGTTTGAGAGTGAATTCACGCCTAGCTTTAGCCTTTCAAGTAGGCAGATGAAGGGCAAACAGAGCATATATTTTGGACTAAGTCTTTAGTGAAAACATGAGCACGTGTATGCGCAAACATACATACATTCATTTCTTTATGGGGGTTGAATGTCAGTCCTTCCAATTATGCACACTCTTATACATCCCAAGATCTGTAGGAGAATCGAATTGTTGTAAAGCTACAACACTGATGTGGGAAAAGCTAAAGGTCCATCTGGAGCTGGGTTTAAAGAAGGGTTTTGGTTTCCTGTGTTCTAAAGGCCACGATGCAATATGTGAGCAAGTGAAGTTCTCTGGAGTATTTGGTTTCAGTCTGAGAAGTGTGTGGTATAGCCCTGAGACACTGACATTTTATATCACAGAGTTTCAGGTTTGTTAGTTAGCGCTGTTTTTTTTTAACTGCTTTGTAGTCATACACTAGAGTTTGTATAGAGTTTTGTTTTTTTGAGAAGTGTAGTTATTCAGAAATACTGCCTTCAGCCTTGTTCATTGAAGTAGTGTCATCTGTGCTTCCGACAAGGAAGTTTATGGATAGCGTTGACTTTGTGTTCATTTACAGCAGAATAAACCACTTGTGTGCTTGGTGGTAGAAGTCTGCTGTCAATACAGTAAATCAAAATACACATGCACGCACACGTAATTAGTAACTTCCAAACAGACAGCAAGGCTTCTTTGAAACTTCATTATTACATCTTCCTTGTGATTGCTTTAATGCTAGCATAAGCTAGGGATTATTTTGTATGCCAAGTTAGTAGGTGTAGGTGCATGCGTTTACTTTAATACATTCTGAACTGCTTTTGGCAGGTTGTTAAATGATTTAATATTGGGTTACTTAAGCATAGAGAGGATGCTGTTTTATTGATGCAGTTGACCTGACTGTGTGTATATAATATATATGCACATGGAATATTTTGTGACTATATACTTTAAAATGTTTATATAAGTCTGCACTGCATACTTGCCATTTCTTAGGATAATAGATAGCAATACTGTAAACACTGGATGAGTTGCCCTTGTTCCTGGAGGAAGTATGTCAAAGGGAAAAGGAAAGAGGTATCGAATAAAACAGAAATGAGAGTAAAACATGTCGAGAAACTGCTGTATTAGAAAAAGAATCTAGTCTATTAGTTTTCACACCAAGAAAAACATTCCAGGCCATAAGCATTACCACGTATTTGTGCATGATAGCTAAATACCTGGGTGAAAACTGGGTTAAAGAAAAAAAAAAAAAAAGATTGAAAAGATTGAACAGAATAATGAAGTTGGCAATCCTTGTTTGGGTCTTTGTGGAGGTTGTGTTATGTTGGTCTTGATTTTTGTTTGTTTATTTTAAAGGAAAGCAAGCTATTAAATGGGTGAAGGGAAGGATAAATATGTGAAAGATTAAAGTATTTAAAATGCATACTAAGGCAAATATTATTAGGAAAAATAAGCAGCAGAGAAATTTATTTAACTAATAATTGCTCCATTCTGACTGGGAAGTGAGATTGCAGGAAAGTTTCACTTCCTGTTTTTTAGGAGAACTTATTCTTACATGTTTTTCAGTGAATTAAAAAAAATGAAAAAAAGAATCATCCAAATATTTAATCATGGACAACTCTCTTGTTTTTTCAAGCCTGCTTTGTTTTTGAAAGTGAAATACTTTTGTTTTGTCAAAGGAAACGGTGAATTTAGCATAGAAAACCACAGTGAATTATACTTGAGTTTGTTTTTGTGATATTAACATTTTACAATGGGGTACTATTTCCGAGCAAGGTAAACTTAGAAGACAAACACAATCATAGAATCACAATCATAGAATATCCCAAGTTGGAAGGGACCCACAGGGATCATTGGGTCCAGCTCCTGGCTCCACACAGGACCACCCAAAAAACAGACCCATGTACCTGAGAGCATAGCTCATAGCCTGTGAATACTGCCCTGGGGAACCTGTTCCAGTACCCAACCACCCTCTCAGTGAAGAAAGTTTTCCTAACATCCAGCTGAGGTTAAATCAGGGTAAAACCAAGTAAATCTGCCTTATTGCTTGCTTTTACATCAATCCATCCATCTTTATGAACTTTCTAAATCAGACATATGGTAGAGGAGGATGGTAGAATCGTAGTCTCTCTCATATTTGGATATGCTGAGCCACCCATACCTGAAGTGCCAACTCTGAGCTAAAAAATGAAATTGCTAAAAGGGGGGGAGGGAAGGAAGAGACTGTACTGTATGGGTTCCTATTAGGAGGAACTTAAAATTTAAAAGCTGTTGTCTTCATTCCAGTTGTTCCTTTCTGAGCAGATACCATGTTGTTTCCTCAAGGTCCTTTGTAAGATCTGTGGTCTTACAGGTGACTGTGAAGTCCAGGTATCTTTATGCCTGAATGAGGACTTAAATTATACATAAATATGATCTTTGTAGCTACACTCTAATTTGTTGTCCTGTTCTTTTACTAGTAATACCATAGCATTTATGGCATGCTTCTATTACAAATGAACATGTGAGATTTAATAAGGTATTTTATTAAACATGCTTAATACTGTTTTCTGTCAAAATTCCTTCTTCCTGGAAAATATTTTAAATAACTGGAATTACCTGTGTTGTATACTCAGACATTCTATTTTATGCTCAGAAGAGCTGGCTTTTACTGCTGTGACATTTTTTCTTTCACTCTGTGTTTCCCTGAGTCTGGATTTTAGGTAATATTCTTTGTATTTGTTACTTACTTTAAAACTTATTAAAAGAATTCTTTTTATCTGCTACCCTTGTTAATTTTGAAGAAGGACTGCTAGCAGTGTGACTGAGAGCTCTAATACAAAGCAGTATGTATTTGCAAAATTAGTGGGGGGTAGGAAGGTTTGGGAACTGCTGTTCCTTTTGCTACTGATCTGAAAAATTAACTGAATTTTGAGTTTCTTTTTTTTTTCTTCGGTCTTATCTTTAGTCTCATTTCTGCTCTTTGATTAAATTTCTTCTTTGAGTCATGCACAAAAGTGGTATGTGAGATGGTGGCACAGCATCAAAAAGCAGGAGCAACCTTGCATACTTCCCGTAACTGTGTCTCTGTAATGGCTGATAAGCACCCCTATCTGTATATGTGGAATTAATTTGGCCTTTTAGCTCTCCTGGCTTGGTGTATTTACCGTTGTGCTGTGACTCAAAAATCTGCCAGTGCACAAGCCACCTTCATTCTCATAGCACTGCCCTCTTTACTTAAATTACATTTTTCTGCATATCCTCTAGGGAGTCTCCAGTTTCATTGCCTCCCTCACTGAAGCTTTTTTTAGTCAAGCTAGCTTGATTTAAAAATGGTATCTACCACCTGAAAATATGATTGTATTTTAGTGACTTAGTGTGATACATAAAACTTAAGACTTGGTACCACTGAATTTCTTTCTCTTCCTGGCTTTTGAGTCTAAACTGATAGCTGACAGTGTTTTGGATAATGTCCGTAATCCTTGGCTTTGCACTGAATAGTGAAAGTGTGACTGATTAAACCAGAACAGTTGAAACATGGCAGAGTAGAAACAACTTAACTGCACAGACCAGCTCTGATAGAGATTGATTGACTTTATGTAGATAATATGCTTGTCACTGTGAAACTGAATTACTTCACTTTCTTTTAGAGCCTCTTGTGTGTTACTGATGTTCTATTAAAGCCCTTTTTCAGTGGTGAAACAAGGTGTTAAGGACTATAGAGCGAGAACTAGTCTTTGGGATGAGGACATCAGTTAAGACTTGGGACTTTGTTCTTCAAAGTAAAGGTGAAGATCCAGTCACATAACCTTGTGCACGTGACTGGTCTCTTGGCCTTGCTGTAAGGTGCTATGTTCAAGCAAAGACCTGTTCTATGAGTAATAGGAAAAAGCATTTTCAGAATTTGGCATGACCTGAATTTTACCTTTATAAAAAATATAGTTAAAAATCAGTGACTGTGAGACTGTTGTATATTCAGGAGCCACACAACAAGTGTCTCTGGGGAAAAAGCAGCTCTGGTAATAACGTGTCTACCTATTTTCCTGTTCCATAACAAATGTTGAGTCGAATTTGTGGTAGGCTGACAGTTTTACAAACTGAATTTCCTTCAAATGAGAGGTGAAAGTAATTCTGATCTTACTCTTCTGCATTGTTTATGCCACAATCAGTTGGGAGCGTTGCCTCTGGAATTCCAAGTGTGTTACACATCACGGAGCCAGTACCTGCATCATGCAGTACCAGGGCTCCGGTCCTCAGCCCCAATGGCATGATGGATTATTGGAAACTACGTGGGTATCAGCAAGGAATCTAACTTCCCTTTGAAAGACAAACAGCTGTCTTCAGCGTGAGTGACTGTAGTCTTTTGTAGTTTTTTGGGCTCTGCCTTAAAAATACTAAAAATAGTTGATCACAGTAAAGCACGCTTGTGAATACAAATTACAGTGTGTGTGTCTTTCTCCCCTCCTGCATTACTAATTAATGCAAATTAGGAGAGTTGGAAGGAGAACTGGGAAGTTCAGGCTAATTTGCAGGTTGTTAGAAACTTACTAAGGCTATGCTACTTCAAATCTTAGAGCAGGTGAAGCACTGAAAAGAAGGCTTATCTTCACATTGCCTGAATTTTTAAAGGATGGGCACAGTCAGTGCTGACAGCAGGTTGAACTGCCAGCTTTTTAACAGGTGCCCACTGAGGTCTTAACACTGATTTTCTTCTCTCAGAAAGTTACCATGTTAGCCAAATTGTTGTGTTTCCTGACAAATTTCATTGATAATACATTGCTGAATACAGAGCTTTCTGTATTCAAGCATTTTGCAGAAACTGTGAGTGGTTTTTGTTGTTGTTGTTGTTTTGTTTGTTTGTTTGTTTTGGTTCTTCTGTTTGTTTTAAACATAGTAAGTCAATATTGAATCATTTGGAAAAAATAAAAAATCCTGCCTTTTACCTGAACCAGACAAGGAGTACCACAGCTTCAGGTAACTACAACATGGGAAAACTCATACTTTGTTTTTAAGTTGAAGTTTAGTGAAAATGGAAACATTGGAAAGCAGTGTCCCGTAGCAGTGTCTCGCTCATAAGTAGTATTTCCTTCGCCACATACCCTTTGAGGAATGGAGTAAGATACCGTGTGTTTAAAACTAGGCTTATTCTTTCATTTAATGTATTGAAGACTTCTGTGGATTAGTGAGAAGCTCTTGTCAGTCGTGAAAACAGGAAATTACTTCAGAAACTATTGTATGCATAGATGAACTTACAAACTTATTTCTAAAAGGATAATGTAAAATCTGATCCCAGCCAATGTAGGATCTACATTGTCCATCCCAATGGACTTTGGGGTATTTTAAGCAATAAATATGTTTTAGACCATTGTTACCATCTCACAATTTTTTTGTACAGATGTCATTTTTAAGCTCTCTTAAAATAGGCATTATATATATATCTGTATTTATGGAGAAATTACTGTTTTTATAGTTCTGAATGTGCACACAACCATAGAATAATTGTAATTACTGCTGGCACTTTTGGTTAGAGAAGAAATAAGTGTGGTTTTCTACTGTTTCCAATCTCAAAATAATTTTTCTTGTGCAAATCATACTGGCCAGCTCACGGTTTGTATTGTCCAGCAAACTATTGAGCACTGTCTTGGAAATACACTGTAGCTTAAGTGACTGTTTTGAGGATTTTTATCTTAGATACTTGAGAGCAAAAATGTATTACTTTATAAGGGAATCTTGTGACAAAAGAAACATGGGAGTGGTTTGACAGTAAGTAATATGTCAATTCTATTTTATTCTGCTCTGGAAAAAAAATATCTTAGGCTACTCTCTTCAAATGTGTAGTATAACAGTAGCTTGAGCAATAATAAACTAAATGTTAAGTCTTTTGAACTGTCTTCTTTAAATAAAGAAATAAAGAAAGCATATTTCAGGGCTCAGGTTTACTCAATCTTGTTTAGTAGTACCTCTGTAGATGGAATAACAACAAGAAAATGATAATATATTGTAAACAATATAAGAACATATATAATGCTATTAACTATATTAATATTATTATAGTAATAACAGGCTGCCCTAAAGTAGAAGATGACCTCACCACTCTGTCTGCTGAAGAAAATTACTAGTAGTAAATTATTAAATGCTTATATTAATATCAAATAATTTTCTAAATATATTATGAATCACACAGTGGGTGGAAATGTTTTCTAAGCAAAATTATACTCATAAAAGTAGAAAACCTTCTCTTATTTTATCTTTTTTTTTTTTTTTTTTTTAGAAAATAAATGCTAAGCTTCATGATGGAGTATGTCAGCATTGTAAAGATATTTTGGAGTGGCGGGTAAAATTTAACAAGTACAAACTGCTATCAAAACCTAAAAAATGGTGAGTTAAGATTTTTTATGTTAACCATTGATAGTATAATTTGTGAATTTTTTGGAAATTAGTCTGGTTTTGGAAACCTGTAGGTGGTAACTGCTGTTATGTTACATTCTTCAGTCTGGAGTCTGCAACAGTAATAAAAATGCGGTGTTAATTTTCAATTTCATTAATCTTTTTATCTTAAACTTTAGAAAAGAAAATGCAGTCAAAGAATAACTGCTTCCCTCCTCTCTGTTAGAGTATTTGAATAATCTAAGTGGTTACTTTGGACCTGTAAATATCCAAAAATGTATCAGTATGTCCTCCCAATGGAAGAGTCAAACCAGAACCAGTTATAACTTGATTTTCTAAGGTCTTGTAGCAATTCAGTAAGTATTGGAGGAATCTGTACACCTCTGTCTTTTTTTTTTTTTTTTTCTGTTCACAAAGACCATCTGGCAGAGAAATCATGAGAGAAGAAAGCTTTATTAATTTTTGACATATTAAACAAAACTGATTGGCAATTCTGCTCTCAGTGTTACAAAACATAACATTCATACAAAATGTTTTCAGTATTTGTATTTCTTTACCTCTTAGTGTGTTCTCTTCATATATGAAATTATAATCCTACATATGAAATGCTTAGCATTGCATGCAAACAGAACTGTATTGAGTGGTTTTGGATAAGAACATAACAAAGGTGTTAAATACCTTAAAATAGTTTATAGTTTTGTGATAAGCTAATCTTCTGAGATGGGTACTCTGCTTCCTTATACCTGCTCATCTACAGATGTCCTTATGTCAGTGACTCCAGACACAGCCAATATCTCAACAATGAGACATGGAACTCAAGGAAACTACATCTGGGATGCAGTGCACAACATAACCAGATTTGTCACACTTGTTCCTTCTGCATGTGTGTGGTATTGTGTTACATACTTTCGAAATACATGCTCCTGAACCACTTGAAAACGTTCTGTAAGCACATGTGCAGTTCATTGAATGAATATATACTTCATTTTGGTTTTCATGAGATTGAAAAGGAAGGAAGGAATGTCTGTTCATACTATATCACTTGTGAGATGTTTTACTTTCTAATATGAAAATATATGCAATAAATATTTCAGTTTTAGTAAACGATTTCACCCTTTTATGTTAAAAAAATTCTGATTAGGCAGCAGTCTCTCTAGTTCTCAAAGTAAGCATACTGGGTTGTATGCACTATTGACGAGGTTGGGAATTTTTGTAACTCTTTCTCAAATAACTACATAGACTGCGTTAAAAAGTAATGAGCTGGAGCTGGTTATTTTACCTCTTCTCTACTCAGCCCCAAAGGAAAAAAAAGCAGGCAAAAACATATGTAAATCAGGGAAGCATGGGAAATAAAATAAAAAAGGTGGCATGGTGGTACAGTTGCTTCTGACAAAATATGTGATGTTTTCCATCATATTTTTGAACAAGTAAGCTAGATTTCATATCTTTCTAACTCTACAGACTGTGATTTCTATCCTTGCCTACAGCAGTTGGATACCATGCTTTCTGAGTGGGCCAGTGTTCTGAAAGAATTTCAACGGGTGAAACATCTAGATAAAGTAAAACAGTACAAGCATAAGAAATTCATTATTTCACAATGAGAAACTGAATTCTGTACACCACAGAGGATGGAAACAGAGGACTTTCGTGCACCTTAATTTTATTTTTGTGCACCTTAATATTTTAACTCTTTAAAATTAAGATTTTTATTACATCTACAACTTAGTCCAGGTAATTAAGTAGCACAGATTAATTTTTGTTTTGTTTTATAAAAAAAAAAAGTCTGTCCGGCCTGAATTGATAATGTCCCTGTTTGGTGAGACATGGCTGAGAAGAACTGTAGATATTAACAGTATTGCAGCTGAACATAGAAGAAGTTTAAAAATATAATAATAATAAAACAACTAAGTAGGTATTTTCAGTGACGTCTGACTGAAGGTTTTTTCCTTGGAGGAGAGGGAAGACTAGGCAGTTCAGACTCTGCTTTTGTCAAGTGTATCCTACAACAATTCTTGTGAATTTATAGTTTCTTAAGGAATTGTGTATTGTAATAATGAAAGTTCAGCAAAGCCTTGATGCAAACAGTAAGAAAAACTTGATGCTGCTTAGGAATGGGATTTGAGAAATGAAGTAAAAATTCTGTCTCACTAGATGCTAGCTAGTGCATCTTTCCTTACAAGGTGTGCAAAAACACTTGATGTTTGCCTTCGGCCTGCTTTAGCCATGTCTGCAAATAAACTGTTCAGAACTGTGTGCTAGAGCTTTCCTGACAGCCTTTGAGTGCCTGAGGAACCAAGAAATGGTGACTTTTAGGACAGCTGCATAACAAGGGTTCTGTTCACTAAAAATGCAAGGCTTAAGAAATGTTAGATGTTTGTTAAGCCATAGTGTTTCAGAAGTTAAGTTACAGAGTTTAACCATATCTTAAAAAAGAGTAGCTAAAAACATCCACAGAATTATGAATGTTTTGTTCAGAATAGAGTTCCATGCAGACTAGTGTTTGTAGAAAGCAAAGTGCAGCACAGACTTTGTTTATATTCTGAGAAGTTCAAGAGGAAGATGTATTGTTTGGATTGAAATGTTTTAATTGTAAAAGTCCACTCACCTTTTTACACTATATTCTTATTTTTATTTTTATTTTTTTATCAGTAAGCCAGGTGAATTAATTTATGCAGCTTTAAAAGCAAAACAACCTACTGAACTGAATGGAAATATTTATTTTGTCACTTTAAATATAAAAATTCTTACTTTCATGTTTTTTCTTCTAGTTTTAGCAAAACTTTCTGAAAAAGTTAAAGGAGAGGAAAAAAGGCAATGATCTTGATAATGATGCTTGTTGAAAAAACAGATGTTTCATATGAAACTGGCCTTTAACAGTGCTTCTTTTGAAGGTTGTGTCTTTGAACACAGAATGTTTAATAAGTGTACACAAATATTTTTTTAATCATGTTTTCTTTCTCTTCACAGTGTGAAGTGCCTCCAGAAGGCTGTAAAAGATCCTTACCATATTATTTGTCGACCATGTGCTTGTAAGCTGGAAATTTGTGCCAAATGTGGAAAGGAAGAAGAGATTGTAATTCCGTAAGTAGCTCATAGATTATACAGTTTCTGCACTGCACTTCATTCTTCCTCTTTATTAAAAGCTTGTTTGGAAACTGCCAAGAAGCTGTTGTACTTTATGCCATATTCTGAATAATCATGACAGGAATCAGTAGGAGTCATCAGCTTCATTTTCTTTTGCTGAAACCAGGATGGAATGCTTATTGATGTTAGTAGGGCTGGGCCAAATAATTCTTACTTGGATAAGACACTTGATTTTAATACCAAAGGATAAATGGCATCTCTTCTTTAGGAACAAAGTACTTCAAAATGGATTTAAGTATAGAGCACCATAAAATATGTGTGAGACAATTTACTGTTTGCATTTTGTGTGTCATTTGATGTTTCAGTTACCAGTGAACAAAAATAAACTAAAGAAGGACAGATACTGAGTACAGTTACTGCAATGTGTTTAGCGGGCTTCTTTATTATTATTATTCTTTTACTAGCACAGTCTCTTTTCTGAACATTCTATATTAATTTGCTAGCATGTGACAACTGGCCAGCAGTTGATTATTTAGTCAGACAATTTACGTATGAATACATATCTCTATATATTCTTTTTTATTCATAGATTCTTTTCCTTTACTGTCTTTTCTATTCAACATGAAAGTAATTTGTGGTTATTTTCCCTCCACCTCCCTTCTTCTCCATCCCCTTCCATCCCAGGTAGAATACTCAGTGCTCTACCTTCTTCTTGTTTAAGAGAGAAATTCCAAGAGTAGCTGGTGATAACTTATTCTTGATTTCTGCAGGATTGATAAAGGACAAGACAGATCTGAGAGTAAGAATACTGAAAATGGCCAAGAGAGTGGATCAGAGGATGAACCTGATTTTGACACAAACTTCAGTAGTACAGACAATGAAGAAGATGCTGATGTGCTTGAAGAAAGATTAAAAAATATGAATTTTAAAAGGACAGAAGTCTAAAAAGTTGAGTTTCTGTAAGAGACAGTATGCAATCAAATGTGATAGACTGTGTTTGCCTTAAACTTCTGCTCTGACAACTTGACCTGACATGTAAGGTCTTCACATATAAATGCTGGTACAGTGTATTTTGACAGTTGCTGGGGGAGTTGTACAAATAAATATTTTCTTGTATTAAAGACAGAATTTCTTGTGAAATGACTCAGAATGTGAATATTTTAAGTACAGTTATTTTTTCTTATATGTAACAACTTCCTCTCGTGAACAAACCCTTGGTGTGATTGTTCTAAATTCAGTATTAAATGCCTGGTGCATTGCCATTTAGAAGGCTACATGGATGTTTGTAGTACGAATAAAGAGCACTGTCATAAAAAGGAAAAGCTAAGCAATTTTAATATATTTCTAAGGGAAGAACTTTAATTTTTGGTCAATAAGTTTCCAGACAGGGTCATTACCCTAGAACATACCAAGTGGCCGTTACTCTTACACCTGCTATTTCTTTTCTGTGGAAAGAAAAGAGTGGCTAAATGCCATCACTAGGTGTGCATTACATATTTGTGATCTTACTACCAATGTTTGGAAACGAAAAAAGCTCAAGACTTTTTGGAGTTTCTCATACAAGTTTCACACTTTCTCTTCTTTGGAATGTAGGTCTAAGTAGTTTGCTCCGATACAAAAACACTTGGGTGTCATGTAGTGATTCTGGTATAGAACTACATTTACCTCTTTACTACAGGTATTTTAACATTATGCAGCAAGGTATTTTATTACAGTCTTCCCGGTTTTCAGTTCTTTCTAGGGGTTATTTCAATGTAGACTAAGCTCTAAGGACTTAACTGAAATTAACTTTTACTGCCTTCAGGGTGATTTAATTTCTTCTTTATTATCTGCTTCATCTATAAATAAAGCAGAAGAAATACTTCCTGGTGATTACATGGTCTGACCTATGAACAGATGACGATATACTATGGAGTTTTTCCTGACCACGTAACAGCTATCCAGCTTATTTGGTGTTCTGTCTGCTTTGCAGGCATAACAAAAATTTGATTCCCAAACTGGCCTCTTCAAATGAGTTGTGAGGGACTTGGACTCTAGAGTGAGTTTTTGTTGGTGGTGGTTTTCCTCCCCATCAAATGAGGGAAATCCTTAAACCTGTTTCTTTTGGGTGGAGATAGCCACCCCGTGGCTGCTGTACTTACCCTTAACTGAGAAGAAAATCTACTTACCAAGACTTACAAAGATGTGGAGAGCTAAGACATACAACAGTCAGTATCCTAGAGTCTGTTCGGGTTGAAATGACAGTATTTAGTATTGGCATTGGTACACAACAGCAAAATTCTTGTAATTGGTTGTGGAGCATAGAGCTCGTACTGTTTATTAATAACTGCTTATATGCTCGCTGCTACAGATAAGATCTTAAGCATAAGCCTTTTCTTATCTTGTAATTAGGTTTGTCTTTCGTGTTTATATTCTTCAATGACACATTAAAACATCCCATTTACCTTTTCTATACTGTTTGTAAGTTTGTATATTGATATCTAAAGTATACTTTTCAAATTATCTCTAAGGTCTAGTAATCTTCATGTGTGTTCTTTTCTTGTTCTGCTTTTTTTTTTTTTTTTTTAATTGCTGTTCCTTTTCTGTGCTGTCCTTCTGCTTTTGTAGAATTTGATTATCTAAGATTAATTTTTCTGTTCCATGTGCATTTTTTGCATAGGTAGATTTTTGCAAAGTATTTTGTGATAACCATGAACAGTAAACTATTGAAAAACATGGTCTTTTCAATTCCTGTGATGCATCATGACTTTTATGGCTCCTTACTGAGACAAAGTCTAAAGTTTACTAAGTATTTCAGTGGTATTCTATGCCTGTCCTTCTGGAGTTGTTTATTACATAGTTGTCTGCAGTCTTAAAGGACTAGGGCTTCTAACTGAAATTGCCCATCTCCTTCGTTCCTCACTCACTCTATAAATATCCTGTTATATGTTGTATAAGCTAAACAAATAGCTTAGTGATCAAACACAGATTCTTTCACTCAATTTAAGCTGATTAATCACCTTAACATTTTTATAAAGGTGATGGCCTGGCCTGGAAGAGTCAGGTAGCAAAGGAAGTAGTAAGGTATGCTTAGAAGAGACTGGAAACTGGCCTTGAGGTCACGTTACATTGACAGATACGTCCTCCCACCAGGACAGCAATGACGTCTGACTTTATGTGACACTGTCTGTTGTCCTGCCAGCTGACGTTGGTAAAGTTAGAGTAAACATGGAATATCCCAAACATGCTGCAAATGACTGCTGGTGGTGGGTTGTAGTTAATAAGTAATCCGGAGGCAGTTTCAGAGGGACTAGTTGAAGCCACGGGTTTCATAAAAAGTGAACGTGGCTTTTGAAAGTGATATACGTAGAGGAAACGTTCTTCCTTCCACATGAAAAAAAATGGTAATGGTCTAGCCCTTTGTCCAAACGTGAAAGGAAATCCTGAAATGATAGGAAAACGTGTTGTGTAGCTGGCAATAGCTGTATGGGAAAGTAAGGGGAAGGGCTGCCTTGTCAAAGTGGTGACCTGACCTGCCAGTGCTGGGGAAGAGTAATGCACCCAGATGAACAACAAAACCCACGGAAGTTAGAACACATCTGAAATTAACATCTTTGCGTGACGTAAATAATCCCCTGCTCAGATTTGACTGGGGCAGTTGATACTACAGATGTTGAAACCGAGATGTTGTGACTGAGCACAGCTACGGTGGTGGCTGTCTCTGAAGACAGGCCTTGATTTTGGCAAGAGTTCTGTCTTTGGTTTCACCTGTGCTTAAAACATGCGCTGCTAGAAATGATTGCTGCAACTAAAACCACGTACAATAGTGGTTGTGAGCTCACAGAACTCCAAACTAGAGTTTGTGTGCATTTGCTATGACAGGAATAAAGAAGTGTCTTTTACTGAAGACACGTCTAGCAGGGGAATAAAAGGAAGAATCTTAGCTTTTTTTTTTTTTTGTTAGAACATCTTTGGAATATCACTAAGATTATTTTTATAAGACTTAAGTAACAGTTCTGAATTTCATTTTTTTACTTTTATTTTTTTGGTGAAACAACTAACTGAACAGGATTTTCTAGGGGCAGAACCTCCTTTAAGTACTGACCTTTGATAAAATATTTTAATGAGAAAATCAAAGGAAAGATCAAAAGTCACAAGAGATTTCTGAAACAATCTTTGGGGTAGATACACAACAGAAATAATATTTAGATTAAAAAAAATAGATTTTATATTTTGAAAGATTTCTACCTCTTCTTTTACAAAAAAAAAAAAAAAAAAAAAGTAATCTTTGAAAGATGGGAAATAACATCACCATTGGTGCAGTATACTGAGATGTAGTTTAAGTGATCTGATGACTGGGGGATCTCAGGATTTTAACTGAACCTTGTGGGTGCTTACCTAATGCATTACTGAAGAAGAGAACGATGGATGTTAATAATTAGTAATCTGACAAATAAAGGAAATGCAGTGATGCTGCTGACACAGTTGGATTCCTGTTAACTGATTGTGCTTATGAGTGTTATCAATTCTCATTTAGTGTGACTTAACGCTGACAGTAATTAATTAGATAATGGACTGTCAGCCTGTCTAAGTAATGCATGCAAGATGATTCTCACTTCACAAGAGGAAATGCTTATCGTAGGCTTGAGCTGTCAGAACTTGTCGTTGTTGACTTCATCAGGTTTTGGGAAAACAAAATTTCCATATATAAGGATTTCTTAGGACAATCTGAATTCATTGCAGCATAAGAGTCCAGTATGGACACAGTGCTGCTTCCTATCACAATTCCCTAACAATCTTCCTTGTCAAAGTTTGCAGGTATCTCAGATACATACTATATTCAAATCTTTTAAAGTATAAAGTGATGCAAAAATCATTGCCAATGATTTACTTTTAGCTGTGCGTGGGGCTGGGCTGTTCCTTTCTTGTCTTGGCTGCTGACTAATCTGTATTCCTCTGGAGTATATAATACCAGCCTCTGTAGGCTTATAGGACTACTGGTTAATTAAGAAAAGGATGGGTAGTTTTCTCCCTATAATGGGCATGTACTTGTATGCCGAGATGCAAATCATAGCATTAGCAAGGAAAATAGAGGAAAAAAGTAGCAGGTAGTCAAATATGAGCCACCTAGCAACCCTCTAGCCTTTCAATTATATGTCTTCTTTGTTCAGGAGTTCTCACAAATAAATGGACTCTGGTAGAAAATGCAAAGCTACCTCTGCTTACAGGAAGCATCTGGCTGACTTACACAACTAATGAGGAGGTATTTGTAAGTAGCATGAGGAGACATTCTTAATAATGAGACGTTTAGGGAGCTGGTCATGCACACTGTCAGCATCTGTTTCACTTCATTCCTCTGCCTGCCTTTTATTTGAAAGCTAGTAAGAGCAAAAAGCTATGTATGAAAAAGAAAGTACATGTTCTGCATACAGAACTGCTGTATATGTTCTGCTCTCATCAGATAGAGTGAGTATGGACGTATGGGTCTTGCCCTCAAAACAGTTGAAAACACTGCAGTATTTGAAGTGAGGTTGATCTGTCCAGGGACTGATAATGTGTTCGCAGACAAACCACCTGTAGTAGGCTAGAAATGAAATACTATGAAAAACCATATTTCAGGTTCCATATTTTGTTGCTGGAACTTCTAAAACAGTTAGGATGATAGGTGTTTGTTTGTTTGTTCGTTTTTTTTTTTTTTTTTTTTTTTTTTTTATATATATATTTTTGTTTGTTTGTTTGTTCCTACAGAAGTCAGTGAGAAAACTACTGTTCGTAAGATGAACTCAAAATTCAGTTATTGATAAAAAGCTTGTATTTTAAGACTTGAAAAGAGGGACTGAAGACCATATCCAGCACATTAGAATTTGACCTGAATTTCAGATACATAGCATCTGTACTTTCATTTACCTTTGGCATGGATCTAGAAACCCAAGTTAGAAGGGTCTTGTATAGTCACATAACTAAAAGTGCTTTAAAAGAAGTACCAAATTGTTTTATTATTTATTTATATATTTTTACAACTGCAACACAGGCCATGTTTTTGTACAAAAGCATATTAACCTATATGGGTTATGTATGCTGTGAATAGTAGCACTCACTTTAAGCCTCTCTTTTTAGGACAGATTGCATTTCTGAGACTCCAGTTCATCGCACCTATGTTTCTATCCTTTGGCTTGCTCTTTCCTAAATACTATGTGAACAAGTGTGGCATAATGTATGAAAAGAGTCCATGAAGAGTAGATACAGTTTACATGTTAATGTACATAGCAATAGTGAAACTTCTAGCATTTATTAAAGCAATAACTGCAAGCTACAAGATAGTTTGAATTGCTTTTTCTCATAAAACTTATGAGTCTCCTGACTATTTTTCCTTTATCCCACAGTCTGGTTCTGCACTGTGGAAGTTGCTAGGTTGAGTGACATCTGATACAGCCTTTGACTGAGAATAACAATGCATTTACTCCAGATTACTCACAGTAACAGCAACAGAGTTGATGCTAGAACCATAAAGCAAACTGCTTCCTTCAAAATACTGATACTTGTGAGATGTATGTGAAGTGAAATGAAGTCACAGGTCTTGCAAAGGAAGTAAAAGGACTTACAATGCTCTGTGTGATAGTAGAGAAATGCAGAATAACCCTAAACCTTTCATTTCCCAGGAAAAATAAACGCCATAAAAGAAGACAAAATCTGTTCTTTCACCAACAGCAGATTTACTCTTACTTACATGACAATTTTTTTTTAAGTCTTTCTCTGGGAATAACAAATATCTCATGCTCAAAGGTTAATAACTCTTCAGCAGTGGCTCAGTCTTCCTTACAATCTAGTGATGAATCCTCCCAGAATGGAACAAGCTTGTACATGCATTATTTGGAGAAACGACACAATATATCCTTTATGTTATAAAACTGTAACCCTATGCCCTGAAAAGACCAAACCAATGAGGAATTTGGCATAAATATCTAGAATTATCAAGACCTCATACCATAATGCCAAAATGTTCCTCCTTTGGGAAAATGTAACAGGAATGATTAAGTCATCTCAAAGTTATGCAGTGAATAGAAACTTGGAGATACTCTTTTTAATGTGTTTCAGGGAAAAATAAAAATAAAATCTTACACTCTACAGTCTTTATATTAGCTTGGGTTGCATTTGGGTATAATTAGTAGTGACATTATGATCTCTCAACAGCAAGACAATTACGTATTGGATTGCCACATTCAGCTAGCTGATCCATTTGCATACTCATTCCTCGCTTTTCTCTAAGGTCTGTGGAAGCCAAACAACAGTGATGGCTGTCTACGTACGTTACTTCAGAAAATCCCATTAGCAGCAGACTGGCTGTGACTCAAAAAGGGCTGCAGTGCTCACCCAGACTATTTCAAAAATGTGTCCTGTTGGGCATTCTTGTCTCCTGCCACTCCAAGCATGCAGCAGCCCAGACCTCTCTCTTCTATAGAGGTTAGAATTAAA